CAATTTTTTACAATTTTGATTTTTAGGTTGAAAAAGGAGATTTTACCCAACTTGAATTTTCATTAAATGAATATGACGAATCATCCAATTTTATAAATATCAGAAACAATTAGATTACATTTCAATAACTTAAATTTAATAGTTTGAAATTACATGTCAATATGCTTAATAGAAAATTAAATTAAATTCCACCAAATAACCTAAATTAATTCCTTATCTTCTTAGAATCAGATTATATAGAGATAAACAATTTGATAATCACTAGAGGTTTTGGAATTACAGATATTTCAATCTAATCAGTACATTCTTTGTAACTAAGTTAAGTACGAATTCTATAACATAAATCATATTAAATTTAAGGACTTCATCAATATGTAGATTGTGTTGAAAGTGAAGCACTAACAAAATATTCCTCTACATCACTCTATCTTTATGATATAGTGTAAATTTCGATATAAGATTTATTTATAGAATCAGTTACAATGATAAATAATCCAATCATATACATACTATCATCTGATAGGTCCTATACTATTTTCATTTCAAAATTATATTTCAAAAATAATCTCATTTTGATAATTGATTCCTGGAATTAAGCCTCAATTCTCCAATTAATGTCCAAATCAACTGTCTAAATAATTATTTAAAATTCAGTAATGGAAAATAATCTAATGCACTAATATCGTCATAATGATTTAATAAACTCAGCATTACTTTTTAACTTTGATTGTCCAGATTGTACATTTATTCTTGAAAATTTAACAATTTAAGCAAATCTAGTTACTAATTCGACATATGGCATCATTTTTTTTAAATCAAATAATATAATAATATAAAATGCAGTGTTTAGATTTAATTGCATCTCCAATTTTAGCATTTTGCAACCTCATATATTATGGGGATTTACAAATGATCAAAGAATATTTTTAGAATACATTCTAGACATTTTTCCAATCAAAGTATCAAAAGGAATTGTTAAACTAGAAGGTCAAAATTTTGAAATAATAAATGTAAGAATATCAAACTCCACTGGTTCAGGAATGTATATATCTCTTTTGAATAATGCATCTTGTTTAATTAGTGATATAGTATTCTCTTCAATAAAATCATTATTCTTGGAAAAAAATGAAAATGGAGGAGCTATTATATTAGATACTACGCAAATTTCTAATGCAAGTATAAAAATATAAAATATAAGATTGAGCAATATTTAATGTAGATAAAAGGGTGGTTTTATCTATTTAATTAATGGATAAGGTGAATCTCAAATTTTTATATCTAACGTCATACTTTAAGATGTATATGCTCTTTAAGGATCAATAATTTATAGTGAAATTTCTGCTTAATCAAATACATCTAAATTAATAAATCTATAAAATGTTAAAATAAAGAATACTCACAATGGTCAAATGAGTTTCTTGAGTCAATTTAATAATTTAAATGACATAGATGAATTTTAGTAATTAAGTTATTAAAGATATTTGATTTGCATTTATAATGCATAAACTATTGTAATATAAGATTTCTCAATTTTTAATCTAAAATATGAATCATTCCTATAAATAACCAATACATTTAAGATATAAATAAATAAACTTATAATAAGCTACTCAATATTTTTGAATTCTGTTATATAAATAGATAGCAAAAATAGAAATACGACTATATTAATGAGTGATTTACATATATCAAATATTTCTATTTTTGCTTTTATTCCAGATAAATTTGAATGCATAATCTAATAGATAAATCCAATGCCTTATTAGACTTTTTAATGTATGAAACAGTCTCTTAACAGGATATCACCTAAGATTTTACCTTAATTTTATGAAAATTTTATAGATAAAAAGGCAGCCTGTGTTATAAATAAGATGAAAATGCAAAATAGAAATGAAAATTTGAGCATTATTGATATCATTCCATTTAAATCCAATATCACAATTTTATAAGTGTAATTATAAGACATAGATTGTGAAAATTGTTAAAATGGATTATTTAACATACCAATAAAAGAAAGTTAAAGTATTTTAGATATTAAATATCTCAATATCTATAGAAATAAATGTGGTAAATCCAGCTGTATAAATATTTACAATAATATCCAATCTCGCCGTAGACTATAAAAATTAATTCCATATGTCAATTATAAAACTTACTAAATAAATGTATTAAATTACCTATGTTAATAAAATCAGGGATATGAAGGTACATGTTTAAGAGTATAAAATATTACAACACTGATTCTTTCTTCTACATTTAAAAATAATATTGCAGTTCACAAAGGAGGTGCAATTTTAGTTATTGGAATACAAGATTTCTTTATAGAGAGATCAATAATTATAGAAAATATTGCAAATATTGGAGGTGGAATATTTATGACTGATTAAATGATTTAAAATATGAAACTTTTAGATTCATACTCAATTGATAATATTGCAAAAAAGTATGGAAATGATGCAGCCCAAGTTCCTTCATAATTGGCTGTTTCAATAGATACTTTTAATTATTTACAAAAGATAAAAATACTTTAAACAGAAAATCTAGTAATAGAGTAAGTATAAATAAAGGAGTATGAAGTTATGAAGAATGTTTTATCTAATACTATCTATTTTCCTAATGGATAAACTATCTCTTAATATAAATACTTTAATTGGCAGAAAGAAGAGTATTAACCATACAAATTGCATTTAAGAATAGTAGCCTAAGACCAATATGATTCTATTATAAAAAATTTAGAGAAAACATAATGTACAATTAAAGGTAGATTACTTGATGATGAAATAGAAAGGGAATTCACAACTAATTTTACAAATTTAGAGAACATTGAATTTGATAATTAAGATTATAATTTGGATAAAATGATAATATATCTAGATGATGAATTAAATATGACTTTGCAACTTTAGTTTAACTGTAGTTCAATTTATATTCCTGTAATAGGAAAACAAAATTAAATATAATCATACCATAAAAATTATTATTTGAGAATGAATGTCAAATCTTTACCATGCCAAATGGGAGAAATCAAGAAGATTTAAACTAAAATCTGTGTTCCATGTGATCCTGAATAAGGATAGTATTCATTAGTAATTAATGCTCAAAAATGCTAAAACAAAGATGATGTTTCAACAATTGAAATCAAATCAGCCTAACTTAATCTTAGAGAGGGATTTTGGAGGCCTTATATTAATACTTATTCTATCAGTTTATGTATTAATTTACTCCAAAATTGTAATGGAGGTTGGTCTCAAGGGGATAATTCTTGTACTGTTGGACACATTGGTGCTTTGTGTGAAGAATGTGATTTATACGACTCTAGAGGATATGGATAGTTTTCAACAAGCGTTAAATATTCTTGTGCTTCTTGCGTAAATAATTTTATAAATATTATCATCATCACTTTGATTACCATTTGGTATATTGTTAATAATATTTTAGGACATTAATTTCTATTTTAATTTCTGTGAAGAGCACATTAGCATTACTTGAATAGATTGCAACTCAAATTTAAATGACAAAATTAAAGTTCATTAAAAAATAAAGATATTCTTAATCTGCTATTCTCATTAAGATGCTTACTAATCATTTGCAAATATTAACAGCCATAACTACTTTTAAAATAGATTTTTCATTTGTTTTAACTAATTCCATAAATTCAAAAGGAAATCCCATCTAAACTATGACATACTCATTAGATTGCTTTTTAATTTAAATGTTCTCTGTAGAAATTCATTATGCTAGAATAATATGGTAATTAATCATGCCATTCATATATATCATTTTTTTTTTAGGAATTTACTACATTTTTATAAAATTTTGTGCTACTGAATATAGTTTGAGTGTTATCACCACTACATTCATATATATATACATTTAAAATTAACCAAATCTAATTGGAGGTTTTATTTCATTAATATCTTTTCGCTCAATATCTGGATATTAATGGATTCAAGCAAACGTAGCTTATAGATATGATACTCCCTAGCACTTTATTTGGTTGGGAGCCTTTTGCTTGCCAGGACTATTTCTATTTGCATTTCTAATACCATTTTTATTTTTTTTCTCCTTATACGTTAACAGAAACATATTGAATGAAAAAAGAATCAGATAGAAATTTGGATATTTGTACAATGAATATAAGATAAGCGCTTTTTTTTGGGAGATTGTTAAAATTGTGGAAAAAGAGTTGGTAATCATCTTTCTAGCATATTATGACGACGATATTATTCAGAAAGGCACTCTTGTTTTACTTGTTGTTTATTTATATTCAGAATTAAATTATCGATTTAGGCCATATAAAATAAGTACTCTCAATAAGTTAGATGCCCGCTCAGCAAAGGTTTGTTAAGTTTCCATCATTTTGGGATGTGGAATATACATCAATTAATTATATGGCAATATTGAAACTTAAATACCTTACTTCTTAATCTTAGTCATACTCAATTTCTTTTACTTATTGATGCTTCTTAATTAAATATTAAAATCTTACTGGGAGGACTTAGATGATTAATTGGACAAATTGAGGGAAAAGATAATTGCTATAGCTCCTTGGACTATGGATTATCCATGTCTCAGAATCTATTTAGAGAGTAGTATTAAGAGAAGGAAACGTGTTTAAGGATAGTACCAAAAGATTAAAAAATATTTACTTAGTTATGCCAAGCCCATCAAAGAGCTGAAAGACAATCTCAATTCTATTTAAAACGAAATTCGACCATCCATTAATATGTCCATAACGATCAATTAAATAAGAATATTTAAAGAAATTTAGAAATAAATATGAGGATTAGAATGGCGATTATTAAATTATATAAATATTATCATCAGTTAATTTTTATCATGAATTTATAGTTTAAATAGAAATATTCTTGAATAAATTCTCTATCTCAATTTATATTCATTTCAATAAAATTCTTCAATCTGTAGATAAGGNTTCCATAAATTCAAAAGGAAATCCCATCCAAACAATGACATATTCATTAGATTGCTTTTTAATTTAAATGTTCTCTGTGGAAATTCATTATGCTAGAATAATATGGTAATTAATCATGCCATTCATATACATCATTTTTTTTTTAGGAATTTACAACATTATTGTAAAATTTTGTTCTACTGAATATAGTTTGAGTGTTATCACCACTACATTCATATATATATACATTTAAAATTAACCAAATCTAATTGGAGGTTTTATTTCCTTAATATCTTTTCGCTCAATATCTGGATATTAATGGATTCAAGCTAACGTAGCTTATAGGTATGATACTCCCTAGCACTTTATTTGGTTGGCAGTCTTTTGCTTGCCAGGACTATTTCTATTTGCATTTCTCATACCATCTCTATTTTTTATCTCCTTATACATTAACAGAAACATTTTGAATGAGAAAAGAATTAGACAGAAACTTGGATATTTGTACAATGAATATAAAACTAGCGCTTATTTTTGGGAAATTGTTAAAATTGTGGAAAAAGAGTTGGTAATCATCTTTCTATCATATTATGACGACGATATTATTCAGAAAGGCACTCTTGTTTTACTTGTTGTTTATTTATATTCAGAATTAAATTATAGATTTAGGCCATATAAAATGAGTACTCTTAATAACTTAGATGCCCACTCAGCAAAGGTTTGTTAAGTTTCCATCATTTTGGGATGTGGAATATACATCAATTAATTATATGGCAATATTGAAACTTAAATACCTTACTTCTTAATCTTAGTCGTACTCAATTTCTTTTACTTATTGATGCTTCTTAATTAAATATTAAAATCTTACTGGGAGGACTTAGATGATTAATTGGACAAATTGAGGGAAAAGATAATTGCTATAGCTCCTTGGACTATGGATTATCCATGTCTCAGAATCTATTTAGAGAGTAGTATTAAGAGAAGGAAACGTGTTTAAGGATAGTACCAAAAGATTAAAAAATATTTACTTAGTTATGCCAAGCCCATCAAAGAGCTGAAAGACAATCTCAATTCTATTTAAAACGAAATTCGACCATCCATTAATATGTCCATAACGATCAATTAAATAAGAATATTTAAAGAAATTTAGAAATAAATATGAGGATTAGAATGGCGATTATTAAATTATATAAATATTATCATCAGTTAATTTTTATCATGAATTTATAGTTTAAATAGAAATATTCTTGAATAAATTCTCTATCTCAATTTATATTCATTTCAATAAAATTCTTCAATCTGTAGATAAGGTATAAAAAACAATCAAATATTTAATCCTTAACTAATTTTTTGAAAAATTCAAATAAATATTGATTGAGAAGAATTAATAGAATTTTTTATATGGCAAACTTACTTATTGTTTTCTTAATCCTAAAGAATATACTTAATATTGTTATAAGAATATATCATTTGTTTTCTTTCAAAAATATATCTGCTCATTTTTATAACAAAAAAATGTATTTTATATAATTCTTTTCTGTCAGATAAATAATGAATCAAAACAGCAACTGATTAGAATATCAAATTATCCATTAAATTGTTGTATTTTATCTCTATGACTAAAACAAAAAATGAAGCCTTATTAAAATTTTTGAAATTATAGAGGATGATAAATTATAGTATTTAATAGAATTTCAAGAAATTCTATCAATTTAAATTAACTAAAAAAATTTAATTAAATAAATAATAAAAAAATATGGCGGAGTTGATCGAGAATAAAAATTGGTCAGCAGAAGAAAATCAGAATTTGCAATCCATTATAATCTAAATGAATTTGAACTAAAACTAAAAATCACTTTTAAATGAATAAATTCAAAGATTTTAGAATTCAGAAAAAGTCATATAGTTACTTCTGGAACACTTTAATAATTGGGATAAATTTCAAGAGTGCTTGATTAAAGAGATGTCTCAAACTATTGAAATTGAAACAGATTGGACCCATTAAGAATTATTAAATTTACATTAGAGATTATCTTAATAAATTGAAAGTGAAGAGGAAATTAATGAAATTATTTAATTTGTTTAATTAAATAAAATAAATGTAAAAATTGTAGAGGAGGCTACAAAATTTGAGTTTAAAACAGCTAACTAATTTATGTAATTAGTAGGTATTATTTTTGAATAAAGCTTAATTAAAGATAAATAAGAGCTAATCATTACTTAACCCAATACCGAACAAGATCAAACATCATAAGAGTAGACAATAAAGGATCTCTTTTAAGAATTTAATTCAATTAATTAAAGATCTAATGAAGAATTATAAAATTTACTTTAATAAGTGTATTAATCGCTTAATAACAAACAAGAATTAGATTTAAACTTTGATAATTTTACAAGCTCTCCACAATTACAGTATGAAGATCTAATATTTTTGTGTTTAAAAATAAAAGAACACTTTTCATATTATCCAAGACCAGTCTAATTATTGTCAGTAATAGAGTTATACAATCACAATCCTAATTAAGGACGATTGGCTTAAATTTTTACTGGGGAAGGAAAAACTCTAATCATAGCTTTGCTTGCAATTCTGTTGAGTTAAAAGAAAAATTCTAATGTTGATGTAGTAACTAGCTCTCCTGTTTTGGCAACTAGAGATGCCGAATAATTGGAAGAATTTTATAAAAAATTTTAAGTTTCTGTATCTCATAATATTGGTGGATCAAAAAAAGTTCCTTAAGGAATGCTACCATGTTATAATTCCAAAGTAATTTATGGAGATCCTCATAGTTTTTAAGCTGATATTTTAAGACATGAATATTCAGAAAGAGGAACTATGGGTGATAGAAAATAAGAATATATTATTGTTGATGAAGTTGATTCTATGCTTATTGATGGAAATAGTAATAAGACATTATTAAGTTTTATGTGCCAGGAATGCTTGATTTAAATAAGGTACTCAGATTAATCTGGGATGAAATATGTAAGACAGAACAAAACTTATCAACAGAATAAAAAGTTATGATTATTGATGATGAAAATTATTATAGTGTTGATTTGAAAGAATATATAGAATCTACTTTGAATATCTAGTTAAAAGATGTATTAAACTAATTTATCCCAAAATACAGATTAAACTATATAGAGTTTATGAAGAAAACTTGGATTGAAAATGCCATTCATGCAAAATATAATCTCCATTAAGATTACCATTACAAAATAGAAAATAACAATGTTAGAATAATTGATTATTAGAACACAGGAGTTATTCATGGAAATAATATGACATGGGAAAAAGGATTACATCAATTTGTATAATTAAAGCATAATCTTCCAATTAGCCCATTATCAATTAACACAAATTTATATCGAATGTTACTTTTTTTAAAAGATACNTAATTAAATAAATAATAAAAAAATATGGCGGAGTTGATCGAGAATAAAAATTGGTCAGCAGAAGAAAATCAGAATTTGCAATCCATTATAATCTAAATGAATTTGAACTAAAACTAAAAATCACTTTTAAATGAATAAATTCAAAGATTTTAGAATTCAGAAAAAGTCATATAGTTACTTCTGGAACACTTTAATAATTGGGATAAATTTCAAGAGTGCTTGATTAAAGAGATGTCTCAAACTATTGAAATTGAAACAGATTGGACCCATTAAGAATTATTAAATTTACATTAGAGATTATCTTAATAAATTGAAAGTGAAGAGGAAATTAATGAAATTATTTAATTTGTTTAATTAAATAAAATAAATGTAAAAATTGTAGAGGAGGCTACAAAATTTGAGTTTAAAACAGCTAACTAATTTATGTAATTAGTAGGTATTATTTTTGAATAAAGCTTAATTAAAGATAAATAAGAGCTAATCATTACTTAACCCAATACCGAACAAGATCAAACATCATAAGAGTAGACAATAAAGGATCTCTTTTAAGAATTTAATTCAATTAATTAAAGATCTAATGAAGAATTATAAAATTTACTTTAATAAGTGTATTAATCGCTTAATAACAAACAAGAATTAGATTTAAACTTTGATAATTTTACAAGCTCTCCACAATTACAGTATGAAGATCTAATATTTTTGTGTTTAAAAATAAAAGAACACTTTTCATATTATCCAAGACCAGTCTAATTATTGTCAGTAATAGAGTTATACAATCACAATCCTAATTAAGGACGATTGGCTTAAATTTTTACTGGGGAAGGAAAAACTCTAATCATAGCTTTGCTTGCAATTCTGTTGAGTTAAAAGAAAAATTCTAATGTTGATGTAGTAACTAGCTCTCCTGTTTTGGCAACTAGAGATGCCGAATAATTGGAAGAATTTTATAAAAAATTTTAAGTTTCTGTATCTCATAATATTGGTGGATCAAAAAAAGTTCCTTAAGGAATGCTACCATGTTATAATTCCAAAGTAATTTATGGAGATCCTCATAGTTTTTAAGCTGATATTTTAAGACATGAATATTCAGAAAGAGGAACTATGGGTGATAGAAAATAAGAATATATTATTGTTGATGAAGTTGATTCTATGCTTATTGATGGAAATAGTAATAAGACATTATTAAGTTTTATGTGCCAGGAATGCTTGATTTAAATAAGGTACTCAGATTAATCTGGGATGAAATATGTAAGACAGAACAAAACTTATCAACAGAATAAAAAGTTATGATTATTGATGATGAAAATTATTATAGTGTTGATTTGAAAGAATATATAGAATCTACTTTGAATATCTAGTTAAAAGATGTATTAAACTAATTTATCCCAAAATACAGATTAAACTATATAGAGTTTATGAAGAAAACTTGGATTGAAAATGCCATTCATGCAAAATATAATCTCCATTAAGATTACCATTACAAAATAGAAAATAACAATGTTAGAATAATTGATTATTAGAACACAGGAGTTATTCATGGAAATAATATGACATGGGAAAAAGGATTACATCAATTTGTATAATTAAAGCATAATCTTCCAATTAGCCCATTATCAATTAACACAAATTTATATCGAATGTTACTTTTTTTAAAAGATACAAGAATAAAATTTTAGGGCTGACAGGTACATTAGGTTCATAGGTTACAAAAAATCTATTGGCTAAGTAGTATTGTGATATTTATTACAAATTTCTATTAGGAGTTAATGAAAATAAAAATAATGTTTGATAATTAATTTTTAAATTGAAAGTTATTCAATAGAACAATGTAGACTTTGTTTTCATGCCTCCTTACAAAAAGAGACAATTAAAAGAAGAGCTAGGATTAGCAGCCCCAAATGAAAATGAATGGAAAGATGCTATTCTATAGGCTGTTTAAAAATAAATGAACAAAAAGAGAGCAGTTCTTATTATTAATCGGACAATTTAAGACGTCAATAATATTTAATAACATCTACAAAAAAATAATCTAAAATCTGTAGTATATTATGATGACAGCTAAAAAATAGATCATGAGATAAAGCCTAATTCTCTTATAATTGCTACTAATTTGGCTGGAAGAGGAATAGATCTTATTTCTAACTAAGAGTTAGAAAATAATGGAGGTCTGCATGTGATAATGTCATTTTTACCTAGAAATATTAGAATTTAACAATAAGGTTTTGGTAGAATAGGTAGGCAAGGTAAAAAAGGTACTGCTTAACTTATAGTTAATTTGGAGGAAAATCTTTATATTGGTTAATTATAATTAGATACTATTGAAGATGTTATTGCTTTTTATGTTTAAAAAGTTAATTCATCCTATACAAAATTAGATCTCCTTGTATATTTAAGAAATTTTAATGAACAATTTTACTCAGATGAAATAGAATTGGATATGAAAAGATTAGAAAATGAGGATAGATGCTTTGAAAAGTTTTGCGAAATTGCAAAAGGCATGGTTAGTTTCAAGCAGAATTATGCAGCTTTCTAAGCTTTGGAAGAAAAATGAGGCCTTTATTTGGAATAACATCAAGAGACTGGATTAAATGAAAATGAAATTGAGAAAATTTTGAAAGAAAATGATGTCGAAAATCCAAAGTATTTGATTTTACAAGGATTGGAAAAAGATAATCTTAATATGTTTAAGAAGGCTATTCAAATTTAAGATAACGATCCTTCTGCATATTATTATAAAGGATTATATGAAATAAAACAGTAAGAATTTAAAAAAGGAATGGAATCATTATTGAAAGCAAAATAACTATTTCAAAATAAAATTGATGATGAATAAGGATTTTAAACAGCATTTGATTTAAATAGATTATAGATAGAATAATTTTCAAAAGATCCTTAAGAAAATTAAAAATTTTAGAAAGAAAAATAAACTTAAATGTTGCCATAACTTGATCTTGATAATAATCCTTTTTCATAATACTCATATCCAGATTAAAAATAATAGAAACCTCAATAGATTAACTAAGAAGATTCTCATCAACATAATCATATATCTAAT